TCTTCTCTTCTCTTCTCTTCTCTTCTCTTCTCTTCTCTCTCTTCCTCCCTCCCTCCCTCCCTCCCTCTCTCCCTCTCTCCCTCTCTCCCTCCCTCTCCAAAGGGGGCTTGCGACACCCAAGTTTGAGAGCAGCTGATATTTCAAGGACTAATACTGATTTCTGAAGTTTTGAGTTTGGGTAACACAGGCTGTTTCTTCAGTAGAGAAGCAGAGGTCTCTTTTGCTGTTTTTGGTTAGGACAAGCTGCACAATGCAAACCTCATTTGAAAAGTGATTCAGAACTTATTTAATTAAGTTTACATTAGCACAATAGTATTTAATAAATAGAAACTAAAATATGCACATTAAATAATTTAATATGACAAAGCATGCTAGATGCATCAAATAAAAATATTTTAATAAGCAACTTAATGTAATTAGCCAAAACTGAAGGACTAATGCCTAGCTATTGACACACGGAAGCCCAAGTGCGAACACTGAAAGCATGAGGCATTTGAAAAGAAACATAGAGATATATTTTTGGGTGATTTTTGCGAGTAATCAGTGAAGGGAGTTATGCTTGTGTCTTCGAAGGTTTTGCCCATTGTCTGTAGAAGTTGTTCACACTGCTGCTATCTTCATGAGTAAATAAAAGAATAATTTCATATCTCAAACCATTAGTTAAAAGAAGGAAACTATGCACCCACGGGAAGCACATATGTCTAAACTGGCGTCATCAATCTTGTCTAAAGTCTTGAAGTTTATTTAAACAAACGAGGTCCGTTTGTGGAAGAGTCACATAGACCTCGCTCTCTACATCTATCTTGCTATTAACATTTAAATTCAAACTAATGAAAAATTAAAATTCAGCTCCTCAGTCACACTTAAGCACACTCATTCCCAGCCGCTTGTCCCTTCCATGCTGGGGAGAGAACATTTGTGTTGCCGAAGAAAGCTACTTAATGCACACAGGGACGGTGTAGATATTTGCAGGAAATGGTGGTTTGTTTTGGGTAGCAGATGGCGCTACTGTTTTGTGTTTTCTTTAGGGAAAAACAGTAGATAATTAAATTATCCTTTGAGTGAGAATTAGTACATCCGTGAATTCAAGTACAACATGGCTCATTTGTGTCACGAAACACATTTAAATTTGTGCCATTTTGCAAAAGTTTTCCCATTTAGCAGTTACCTAGCCTTTGTGCTATTTGATAGAGACATCTAGGTAGATTGCAGTCCTCATTCATTTTCTGTCAAGTGATAGATTTAATGATTTTTTTTATCATTATTTCATATGAAAAATGGAGTAAGTTGGAGCATTAACATGATTATCACAGATGGACTGATGAGAAAAGTGTGACACAAACCAATATTTGTGATTAATCTAGTAGCGCGGCTCTAACCTCTACTATTAGCATTTCATACTTGTTATTTTGGCAATCTGTCTTTTCCTCCAGAATGAGCACCCCACACTGGATCTGGTCTTCCTCATGTGACGAAAGTCTTGGCTGTGACTCTTTTGGGTAGGAAGCAGTCTTAGTAACAATGAGAATTTCTGTTGTTGGTTTGTTTGAATGTGGTCGTGCGAGTGGGGAACCCAGGACTTTGTACACAAACATTGAACCCAAGTGCACCCACCGCGGACCCATTGTAAAGATGTTACAGGCCAGGGAGTGGTGGATCCCATTTCAGAACTGAGATTTCTTTTTCAAAAAGATCAAAGACATTTAGATCAGTTCGAGGACCTTTTGATGTTTGATATTATTTCTGCTACGTGGTTGTTGATCATTGTCATACTGGTAACAATCCGGGTTTTTTACTCCTCAGAAAAATCTCTTAGGAGGTGACACATGTTGCATTGCTTCCAGTTGTGGGATTCCATTGCAGGTTTTGATTGCTTATTATACTGTTTTGGGAGAAATGCGGATTCCTTGGACACGGCTCAGCTGTGGAACAATGCAAGGAAACATGATTCAGTAACTCTTGCACATCTGAACGTACTGTGGGCCTCGTGCCCTCACGTGTTCATGGCCGGGATGTTGTTGTTGTTTTGAATTAATGAAGGCTAAGTGGGTGAAAAAAGCAAGTGCCGAGGCTGAACCACTCATGAGTTTTGATACGGTCTGAATAAAAAAAAATTGATTAAAGCCATCTAGAACTCTGAGGTCCAATTTGAACAGTGCTCTCTTTTTCCTCTATGGAACTCAGCCTTTGGCAGATGTTCAGGTTATTCACGTATACCCTCATCAGCTCTATTCACAGTTAGGAATGTAGGCTGTATTTTTATAAGTCATTCAATATACAAGGAAATTTATGAATGGGTAAATATAATGTGACTTGGGCATAGATCGCCAGGTATGGAGCGTGGAGTACAGCTATATGTTCTTTTAAAATTTTATTTTCTTTGAGTTTGAAGAGTAAAAAAAACCTGAAAAAGCAGAAATGCCCCTGTTTAAAGTGAGTAGAATGAAGATGTGAGTCTCACCATCAGAGTCTGATGCAGGTATTTGCTAGTGTTTGTACTTAGAGAGAGGAAATGGTAACACAACAGATTAATCAGTTACTTATTTGGCCAATAGGATGAGCACAGCTCCTGTTGAGATTATCCCTAGGGAAGGAGTTATTCATCCAAATATGAATTTTATTAAAATATGAAAGGACATCTGTCTTGAAATTTATTTTCTTGATTCATTTATATTAATTATACTTATTAATGGGGTATTGTGTTGTATTCAAACAAATGCATCTGGTGTTGAAATCTCCATGGGCAAGGTAATGAACATATGGGGACATAAGAACATTGTTGAAGGCTTTGTGGTAACATTAATTATTTCTCATTAATTAATGATTACTTTTGAATACTCTATGTCCCTATCCTGGTTTTCTTTTTAAAATAAGATAAAACATAGACCCAGAAGAAGTCAGCTGGGCTTGGAAGGTAGCCTAATGGTAGATCACTTACCTAGCATGCGGGATGCCCTTGGTTTACCACTACCACAGAATCAAAAAGAAGGAAACCTAACAAATTATAAGAAGGATGCCCTCTGTAAGAGTACAGGTATTTGAACCTGGAAACCATTTCTGTCCTGGATTATTTCTAGGTTAACGATTGTGTGTTTAGTCTAGGTGTGGTCAAATCTTTCATGAGTCAGTCTGTAAATGAGGGAACAGGGCAACGAATAGTAATTATACAGAAGCAGCATGAAATACAGACCACTGGCATGAATAGGTGATCAGCCACGAAAGAAAGTCACCTATTTCTTGGCAAAGGACTCTATAAAAACCCAAAAGCCCTACCTATGCTCTAGCCTCTGTACAGTGACAAGGAGCTACAGGGTGCAATTGTGATAATCCTGGTTTGGATGATGACTTTAATAATGCTTGTTATATTACTTAAAATTAATAGATTGATAAATAAAAATATCTTTTATTTGGTTACTGATGAAAGGGGATTGGCATCAATCCTATGAGTACTCTAGCACATGGCTAATATCCTTTAAAATGATCTAAATCTGTATTTTTATTTGTTTAAAAGTTGGTATTTGATTTCACAGAATGAAGAGGATGGTGGATTTAATTAAGTCTTCAGTGCAGGATGATTTGGGCTGCTGCTGTCTTAGGTAAGAATCCCAGTGACCAAGTATGTAACAAAGAACCCTATTCATCAGGGCAGATTTCTCATTAGCATTTTATTGAATTGTTTATGCTAAGTCATAAGTAGACCAACTGTGGATAAACCGTAACATCAGAGTCTTTCCTCTAAGAATTCACCTTACTTTTACGCCGCACTTAGGTGAAAATTGATCCAGTCATAGTCTGGGCTGCCACTCAAGTGGCTGCTTTGTTACACACGGCTGTCTTTAAGGAAATTGTGTTTCAGGAACTTTCACCTTCTGTCTTTTGGCTGCAGCAGCCCTACTGTGAGTAGGCAAGCGGCTGCCTGGGCTTCTGGGCCCTGTCTGTGGTTGCATCACCCCTGGGCAGCTCTGACCGGAAGCAGGCAGGAGAGGCATGCTGGAGGGGCGGGATCCAGCCCAGCAAAGGTGCTAATTGGCCCTTAAGTGTGAGGGCCACTCCAGAGGGAGCTCTGCGCCCTGGGAACAGATCTTGTCCGTGTGAAACCAACCGCCTGTGCACAAATTTTGGTTTCTTTTAAGCTAATTGTTCTTGGCTTATTTTTAAAAATTCATTAATATTGATTTTATCATTGCTAGTATAGCTATGGAGGGATCAATAAATCAAGGTAGAAATGAAGGAAAAAGATTGCTTATCCTGGATCAATGATGAGTACCCTGGGGTGTCTGAATCAAGGACTTTGATTAAACCCTATACCTCTGAGATCCATCATGGGAAGACTCCTATTTACTATTTTACAGGAAATTGGCTCTTTCTGTGAGTTTCAGATACTATGGATAGGGCTCTTAGAATGCTGGGTATCGATTGCTATTATTTTTCTGCAAAACAGTTGATGAATAAATCAAGAAACTTACATCTGCATACAGACAAAATGGGTTATTTCTGTTCCCTGTTTGAGGAGAGTGTTTAATGCAGCAAGAGCCGCTCCTAATAATACCTTTAGGAAGCACTGAAGCCCAGCAACATACATAGATGTTAGCATCTGTGTTGCTTTACTGGAGTAAGTTACTTGCTCTATTAAGAAGTGAGCAAAATGCTTCCATTAATTATTTATTAAATAGCCACCTCATTCAGAGGGGGCTCAGATACACATCTGTATTAAGACTATGTCATCAAGGGGCCAGGGAAATGGCTCAGTGGAATAAGCACTTCTGTGGCAAGCACAAAGGCCTGAGTTCAATCCCTGGTTTCGCACAAAAAAAAAAAAAAGAAAAAAAAAAGACTATGTCAACTACCCAATTGTGATTAACCCAATAATCCTCTCTAGGTTTAAATTGAACTCCTCAGTGTAATTAAAACATAAAAAGTCAACTGATGTTTTTCAGTATCTAATGACCGTTCAAATGTACATTAAGATTGCAGTTTCTTTGAAATTATATAGTGTTATTATTATAACTAATGCACAAATAACTTAATATTCCAGTCAATTATTTAGTTTTTTTTGTTATTAAGAATAGTGAGCATCTTTATCCTTGATCTTTATATTTATGATTTTCTACTCTACATTCATGATAAGATCAGTGAATAAATCATTGTATAAATATGTAAATAAAGATAAATTATATGGTGTGTTGACCAATTGTGAAAATAAATGGATGACAAGCAACATTAATATATATGGAAAATACAGAGCTCTATTAGGAGATGAGTGATTTGAAGGTGTTAAAGTTTAGGCTTTTGTGGAGGATGGAATAGACAACAGATACAATGTGAAGGTCAGGGTCATGATCAGTGTTCTTTCCTTAAAAAATAAACATCATGATTTAGTTTTTTAAAAAATAATTTGATGGGAGGAAGGATTCAAGGTTAAATGCACAAATATTATTTTTAAAAATAGCCTGGTCCAAATCACTACGAGTCTGATCTGGTAGTGAGACCCTGAACACTCTGTAGACCCTTCCCTGAAATACAAAAATAAAAATAATAATAATTTAAAAAAGAATTTTAACAAACAAAATGGACATTACTTTAAAGAACTAGATTTTAATTTTATTTATTAATTCTATGTTGTTTGCATTTTTCTAATTCACTTTCTACTTTTCCCTTTACAAATTTCTGCTGATTTCCTTATTTTTTCTATTGCTTTGAATGTTAAGTCATTTATTTTATTTACTTACTTGCTTATTGCAGTACTGGGAATCGAACACAGGACCTTGCACTTGGCGGTCAAGCACGGGTGTTTCTGAGCTGTCTCCCTGACCCCATTTATTTTATTTAAATAGCTAATGATTATTTGAACACATAGCTGATTTGTGTATTTATGGGTCAAACAGAGAAACCTGGACTATCTTATATCCCTAGAGACTGAGGAATGATTCACAAAGAAATTGATGGGGCCACAGCAGTAGACACAGGAGCTAAGCAACAAGTTCCGAATGACCAAATTTAAGCAATGAAAGCACACAATGCTGTATTATAACCCAAAGTATAAAAAATGAGTCCATACTGATATAAATAAACTCTCTAGCAGGAAATAAAAAAAAAAAAAAAAGCCTGGTCTTCGTACGTGCAGTTTGGCTGCTCCCAACCAGCTTGAAGGTCTCCCTGCTCGTGACATCCATGGTTCCAGGAGCAGGGAGACCCTGGGAGTGCAGTTAAAGGCTGAAGGTGGCTTGGGTGGATGATATGATTGAACTGGTAGAATCTCTATATGTAGTCCAAACGTGTCAACTTGGTGACAGGAAAAGTATAAACTGGTCTGCTAATGCTGTGTAAATTATTCAGTAGTTGCAAATTTTCAATTGGCTGAGATCTATATACTCTGGCAAAAGATCCTGTGGTTAGCTCATAGGGTACTTAGTGATCTTGTTATTAATTTTTTTGTTATTCTTAGTTCTATGATTATTCTTAGTGAAATGAATAGTCCATGAGGAAATGCAGAAATGAATGGAGGCTGAGAGCCAGGCTTGGGTCTATGATGACCCCTGGTGGTGAACGAGGCACGGATGATGACCCCAGCGCCACGGTGCAATGCAAGACCTCCAGTGTGTGACTGGGACCCTAGGAGTGAAACGGAGGGCTAGATAAGGAGGTTCTCAGTCACACATCTCATTCTATTTTTCTAATCAGATCAATGAAAGTATTGTTGAACAAACACATAAATTATGAAGTGTCTCAAGCACTGGCTAGTTGTAAAAAGTATGTGCCAAAAAATTCTACTATAAACAAAATCCCTCACTAAAATTCACTGTGAATGCACCTCAAAATATTACAACCTTCACCGAGCAGATCATATATAAAATTTTTAATGGCTTCAAGTCCTTTTGTCCATTGTTACATTTTTTTTTATTTATTTTTATTTATTACATTTATTTATTGTGTGTGTGTGGCCAGCTCAGCCCACCAGGGGGCAGGGCTGGCTGGCATGTGGAGCTGGGGGATTGAACCGCGGTCCCTGTGCTTTGCCAAGCTTGTTTCAAGTAGGTGCTTTAGACCACTGAGCCATCTCTCCAGCCCCTGTTACATATTTTTTTAAGAAAAAAAATCTTCACAATGTCTCTTGTGGTTAATGACTAGTGAAAATGTAAGGAGGGATTGGGGGAAACAAGTGTAAGTGCCACATGCTAACTGTTTGCGCCACCAGAGCTCCACAGAGGGAAAACAAACAACCGTGGCTTCCTCCTTGTTTTCTCCTCGTGCTCCTAGGATGGCTAATGCAAGACTGATGACAGCATCCTCACCAGCACCGAAGTCGATGGCTTGCCCCATGCCTCAGAAGGCCGGAACCAATGTGAGTAATCAACAAAGTTCTTAACTTGTCTGAGTGGTTTTTAACAGGTATTAGGAAAAGTATTTTGTAAAAGCAAACCATGTCAATCATTTTTGTTGACAAGTGCAAAGTGGTTGTGAATTTTTATGCACATTAACTGATATGGTCAGAACAATCAGGGAAGGAAAGTGGATACAAGAATACGGCATAAAAAAGCACAATAATGGCACAGAAATAAATATGTGGACGAATAAAATGGAACATCCGTTAAAGAAATAACCCTGTGAATCTTCAGCCTGGCTTTTTGACAAAGAGCCCACAGGCATGCCTTGGAGGGAGACTTTCAGATAGCTGGAGCTCTTATTCATGCAAGGAGTAGTGAGTCCATAGGTCAGTGCAGAACGTGTAGCAGAGCAGGGCCAGCCGCGGATCGGTGATGACCACTGGAGTCGTATCAGTCACGGACGATGACAACAGCTCAATGTCTGAGGTCCAAACCGTAAGACAAGCCGTGTGCACCTGGTGATCTCAGGGCCTGTGTTAGCGATGGAAAGGTTGTCCTAGAAGGGTCTTCATGTTCATGAGGGTGCAGTTTGCTTTTATAACTGAATCAACAAAATGAAACCACTATACACAGTAATACATATGCATATGTATATATGAATGACATGTGTGAAGCGGTGACCAATGGTGAAGTTACATAATAATGAGGAATACATTATTTTTGTATTTAAAACATAGAAGACCATTAAAAAAAATCTAAAGCCTGTTACAATTTTGGCTGAAGATGACAGATGAACATTCAATGTTCTTTTTTTTTTTTTTTTTTTTTTTTTTTTTTTGTTTTTTTTTTTTTTTTTTTTTTTTTTTGGCGGAACCGAGGATTGAACTCAGACCCTTGCGCTTGGCAGGGAAGTGCTTACTCTACTGAGCCATCTGCCCGGCCCCCTCAATGTTCATTATCTCACAAAATGCCCACATAATTTAAGGCTTGCATAAGTGATCAATGAAATTAATGGATGAGGGCGAGATGAAACAGATACTGTCAATCCTTTTGAGAGCTTCGGTGCCTTGCACTGAGTGTTTCGATTCCCCTGACCACAGCATTCTTTCTCGGTCGCAGCGTCTCCTTCTGCTTGTGTGCGAGGACTGTGGAGACCAAGGTGCGTGCAGCCGGACTTCTCTCCTTCTGGGTTGTTTTTAAAGTGGTGTTTATTGCATTTGTGGAAACATCTATATCCATAGAAGAGCGTTAAGAGTGGCTGAATGAACAGCACAGCATTGCCTGGAAGTTTAACGTGACTAACATAGGATAGCTGGAATTACATTGTTTATGTATTTAAAAGAACCTAAATTGATTAAAAGATTAAGGTAATCCAGATATGTGAACTCTCAATGGAAGGAGACAGATACAGTGAAAATAATGGACTTCGTGAGTGTTAATGCCAATACTGGATGATCAATGTTTTTTTTTTTTTTTTCTTAAAAAATAGGGTCCTGGGAGATGGCTCAGTAGAATAAGCGCTTGCCTGGCAAGCGCGAGGGCCTGAGTTCAATCCCCGGTTCTGAAAAAAAAAATTATAATCTACTTACTAGTCAAATGACTAATAGAATGAAGAGAGAGGGCTGCAAGGATGGATGAACAGAGATGGGATTCGTTAGTACTATTTTCTACTTTGTACTCTCAGAATGGTGGCTCCCAACCTTCCCAGTTCATGTGTTTTATGGTGTCTGACGTATGGTGAGAAGGTGGAGACCATTGTGCATACAAAGTTCTCGTCATGGCTTGGGTGTTTTACTTTTCTTTCTGGGAAGAGGTTGGTTTTTATAGTTTGTGTACTTTGTTGGTAGAAGCACTACATGTAAACCAAGAGTGCTGTCCTAGTCACTTTTCATATTGTTGAGACGGTGTACCTGAGAAGGGAAAGGTTTACTTTGCCTGGCATCACAGAGCAGAAACAGTGCTTGGTAGGGCAGGTAGGAGGCACTGCAGCAGCAGCAGCAGCAGCAGCAGCAGCAGCAGCAGCAGCAGCAGCAGCAGCAGCAGCAGCAGCAAGGAAGACCTTCTACTCCCCTTCATTCCATCCAGGCCACAAACCTAATGCTGGTCCCTTCCACACCTGTGTGGGGCTTCCCGTTATCCACACCCAGAGCAGTGCTCACCAATCAGTGCACTAATCCAGTGATCACACCTTGAATCCAAATCACACACCTCCAACCAGCCACCTCTGAAAGGTCTGACTGGTGAGGACACGAGTCTTTGGTGAGACACCCACATACCCACTGATCGTAGCTCAGTGACAGGCATGGGGTGATCACAACACTTTATTCTCACTCACCAATATTTGTACAACTTATAATAGTTACTGAGGGAAAGAGATGTACTCAGAGTGGTAACAGATCCTATATATAGCTTGAAAGTCTAATTAAGAGTTTGGTTCTTTGATGTTTTAGATTCACAGTCTTCTACATATCATCAGTAAAATGAATTTTTAATGAGAAAGCATAGAAATTAAGGAAAGCAGATTCAGTGTTAGACCCATGGCAACCAATGTTGGTGTGTGAGTCATGGATGGTGATTACAGATCTAAAAGTCTGAGCTTAAAAATACTGTAAGGTATCTTCTGCAGACCTTTGGATCCTAAGGATATGTTTGAGAGATAATTTTTTTCTTTTTAATAATTAGAGAAATCGTGAGATTAATACAAGCTCATAAAAATGAGATATAATGTGAGAGAGTGTGAGACATTCAGCAATATGTGGCAGCAAACCATCAATTATGTGTGTACTTAAAAGTCCAGAAGGCCACTGGATATAAGAGCTCAAATGAGTTACTCCCTTGGTAGAAAATGTGAAATAAAATAAAGCTAATGGCCTATGTCCTTGTCAGTGTCGGGGCCCAAATGCTCAATGTTTGTTTTCTGAAGAAAAAATCACCGTCATTTAACTCCTACTTAATTGACCAGTGTAATGAAAGGTTGAGTGCATGGTTAATTAATTACCAATCTTTTATAATCTATTTTGTTCATGTTCTCAGAACGGATGCTGCCAAGCTTCTTGAAACACATCCTCCTGGCCGTGACTTCTGTGGTTCTCGGTTGGTGTTAGGGACGTGGAAACGGGTGAGTGTAAATGAAGTTCCTAAATTATTTTAGGTGATTTCAAAAGGCAGTTTACCATTTCCTAAAAATGTTGCTTATAATCTAGGCAGACGCACAGAGCTAAGATAAATATGGGATGGCCATGAAATACTACCTCAAATAATATTTGTCCAAGTATGTATAGGTATCAATTTTATCAACTAGTCATTATTAATGTCTTCAATACTAGAAAACAAATATAGAAATAAATGAAGAATAGTTCGGGGGCCAGTCTTGGATCAATGATGACCACTGGTGGCATATGAATCACAGATGGTGACTAAGCCATGGAAGTCTGAGGTCCACACCATATGAGAAGTTAGTTTGCTTCTGCTGTGGAGAAAGGTCCTCCAGAGAGACAGGAGAGTGTATGAAACATTATGTCCCTATGATTCTTATTATATTGAAAATAGTCCTAAGATAAATATATACACTATTATTAAAATGCATGAGAAGTTAAGAGTGGCCATCTGTATTTACTGAAAATGTAATTTTAGTAATATATAAATGATCACCTCTTATGATAGAGCTGGTACAACTAATCAGTATTCTTATTCTGTGTTAGTAGAAAATTCAATTTTGTATTTAAGAGAAAGTAAAATATATATTACTCTAAACTGAAGCCAGAATGACAAATTAATTGATTGAACTGGAGAATTTGATTGGTCAGTGGAGAGAATATCTCAGTCTTTTATCACCTCTTGTGCTCTCCACTTCTCAGAGTGCCCCCCC